TCTCTTTTCCTCTCCTCTCTTTCCTCTTCTCCCTTCTCTTCTCTCTTATATTCTCCTCTTCTCTCTTCTCCCCCTCTTCTCTCTTATATTCTCCTCTCTTTTCTCTTCTCCCTTCTCTTCTTTCTTCTCATCTCCTCTTCTCTCTCCTCCTCCTCTTCTCTCTTCTCTTCTCTCCTCTCCTCTTCTCTCTTCTCTCCCTCTTCTCTCTTATATTTTCCTCTCCTCTCTTTTTTCTTCTCTCTTCTCTTCTCTCTTCTCCTCTCCTCTTCTCTCTTCTCCCCGTCTTCTCACTTCTCTCCCCTCTATTCTCCTCTCTTTTCCTCTCCTCTCTTTTTTCTTCTCCCTTCTCTTCTCTCTTCTCTTCTCCTCTTCTCTCCTCTCCCCTCTCTTTTCTCTTTTCTTTTCTTCTCTTCTCCTCTCCTCTTCCTTCTCTTCTCTCTTCTCTCCTCTTCCCTCTTCTCTCTTCTACCTTACCTTATTTTATTTTATTTCATCTTATTGTTTCTTATCTATCTTATCTTCAAACTGTCACTAAATGCACGGTTGTAAGTTGAGGACTACCTGTGTAACCAGAAAGGCTTAAGTAGTCTTTTGCTTTGTTCCTTTAGGTTAACTGATGGATCATAGATGATCAGGGTTGGTGAGTGGTATGGATGGCAAGGGTGGTATGAGAGCTTTTCCTTCTCACATTAGAAAGCATCTCTGTTATGCATATTCAGATCAAATCTTGGTAATCCCATGGCACAGAAGATAAAGTTGTCCCAAAGTTCCACTAAACTACAAATTGGCAATGTGTTGGGGGCCAGCAAGCTGAGATCTGTTGTGGTTCTTTTCCATTTTTAACTGCCTCGAATACAAAACTTGCTTGCAGAGATGCTTCTCCAAATATCTTAATAATTGATGGGAATTACATTTTAGTTCTATTGAATGTCTCGGACTACCACAGAGTCTGTTTTGTTTATATTTTCATGCTCACCTCTGGTCTCCTGCTAATATAATTATAACTTCATGCTGCTACCATTAAAAAAATAGAATGATGGACTTTCAGGCTTTTATTCTTTGTCAGTTTACCCACTCCCTCCAAATTAATCAGTAACTATTAACTGGGCCAGCCAGCTCATGAGAAATATGGGGACTGTGGAAGAGATGCTTTTGATAGATGATTCATAAAAGTGGATGCTTATTAGACATGATTAAAATCCTCTTTGAATATAAACAGAAATGCCTGCTTTCTCCCATCAGTCCACCATCCTCTTTCAAAACAGACAGTGGGTGAAATTATTTGAAGTTTGCCCGATTGCTATTAAACATTTCAGAATTTCAGGGCTGTTTTGTCTTTGGTGCAAAGTTGTCAGAAATCCACCCTTGAATTTCTCTTTGCTGTAGCCTCTTCTCCTCCCTAGCAGATCCTCAAACTCAATTTCTTTTCTTTTTTAATAAATTTTTTATTAATTTTCCAAATTTTAAAAAACATAAAACGAAACTTTATACATTGTTATCAACATCAAGACGTCTTTTGCATTTCCTCACATTTTTCAGTATATGTATTTACTTATTCCTTTACCGTTACATCTTACTCTTACTATAAATCAATATCTTTTATCCTTACATCTCAATTTTCTCCATGGTACATTTACATATTTACATATTCCCTCATTCTTTTCCTAATTGCCATTTTATTTTCTTTTTATTTCTAAACCACTCATACCAGGCATCCCAGGCCCTATAATAAATTGAATCTTCTCTGTCGTTTATTTTCATCGTTAGCCTGTCCATCTCTATACAATCTATTATTTTTTTTAATAACCATGCCTTCTGGTGGAACCCTTTTTTCCTTCCAGAGTTGTGCATACGAAATCCTTGCAGCTGTTAATATATGTAACATAATATATCTATCTGTTTTATTGCATTTTTGTGTTATTATACCTAATAAAAATGTTTCCGGATTAAATTCAATTTTCTGATTCGTGATTTCTTCTATCCATTGTCTAATTGTATTCCAATATTTTTTCACTTCCTGGCATGTCCACCAGGTATGAAAATAAGTGCCTTTTTCTTTTCCACATTTCCAAAAATTTGGGTCTGAATTAAACATTTTTGCCAATCTAGCAGAAGAGGAAGGTGCCATCTGTAGAACATTTTGAATTGATTTTCCTTGTATGCTGTGGATGTAATTAGTTTGTAATTTGATCCCCACATTCTCTCCCAATTTTCCAGGTCTATATTATGGCCAACATTTTTCGCCCATACCACCATCGTCTCTTTGACCATCTCCTCTTCCATTTTTAAATCTAGTAGAAAATTACATATTCTTGAAATCATTTTCTTTTCCATTTCTTGTAGAATTTTATCTAATTGATGCTTTTCCGTGCAGAAACCAAATTGTTCTTTGTCCTTCTGATATCTCACCTGGATTTGCATGTATGGCCACCAATCTATTTTTATATTTTGTTGCTGTAATTCTTGTCTCGTTTTTAATCTTCCTTGTGGGTCTAATTGGTCTTTGTAATTCCCCTTTTTTCCCAGATCCATTGCGTTTGGGTATATTTGTGCTTCCATAGTTGACAACCAATTCGGTATTTTAGTATAATGATTCTTTTTAATCTTGTTCCATGTCCGAATTAATGAATCTCTAATCACGTGTCTCTGAAAATATGCATGCTGTTTACATTTCCCATCCCACAGGAAACTATGCCACCCTCTCTGCAAGTCGTGACCCTCTATCGACAATACTCTTCTATTTTCCAGGTTGATCCAATCTTTAATCCGTACCATAGCCCTGCCTGATAATACATTTCCCAGTCAGATAAGTGACTGTCTCTAGACTCTTCTTAAAAACCTCCAGTGATGAAGCACCCACAAGGTTCTGGTGGCAAGCTGTTCCACTGGTTAGTTGTCCTCACTGTAGGAAGTTTCTCCTTAATTCCAGGTTGCTTCTCTCCTTGATTAGTTTCCATCCATCGTTCCTTGTTTTGCCTTCCGGGGCTTTGGAAAATAAGTTGATCCCTTCTTCTTTGTGGCAGCCCCTCAAATACTGGAATACTGCTATCATGTCACCCCTTAATAAAGGTAAAAGTTTCCCTGTCCACTCGTGTCTGATTCTAAGCCAGGTGCTCATCTCCGTTTCTTGGTCGAGGGAGCCAGCATGGCTATATGCCAAAGGTGCTCAGAATGCTGCTACCTTCCCACCAAAGTGGTACCTATTTATCTACTCACCTTTGGATACTTTCGAATTGCTATGTCGGCAGGAGGTGGAGCAAGGAACGGGAGCTCCATCGTTGCATGGCGCTCAGGTCTTCAACCTGAGCTGTCATCTTTCCAGCTGACAAGCTCAGTGTCTTTAACCGTTGAGCCATCACGTTAATGTAATGGCTACATTCAAACACTGGCTTTATAAATATTCCAAAGCCTCTTTTTGAGCTGCTACTAAGAGTTAGTTTTGGATTCCAGACAACAACAGGTTTGGGGTTTTTTAAAAGCATATTTTAACCGCTTTTTTAAATAGGTTGTTTTAAACTGCAAGATTATATATTACAGCCCAGTTTACTTGTTTTACTGGTTAATAGGATTGGACTGCAATCCTATTGTTGCTTATAGGCCACGTCCCAACAGACCACTTTCCTTTTCAGTCATTGACCCAACCACAATCTATTGACTGACTGTGTTAATAATTATCAGTTGGGGAACTTAAAATCCCTATTCACATCTTCCTTGAATTTTAAGGCAGTAGTAAAGATCTCAAGTAAGCATTCTCTGGAAAATTCACCCCTGTGTGTAACCTACATTGTATTGTTTATTTTCCAACAGTGAGCTCCTGCATGGTTATGAAAGCTAGCAGGAGGGAAAGGTTAAGCTTTCAAACATCCATTGGGAGATTATGCATCCACGTTGCCCCGATCTGCGAATTCAGTCAAAATAGAACATTTCTGCTCACTTCCCTGTAATTCAACTCTGTTCTCAAAAGGGCAGAATGAAAAGGGTGTGAAGAATTTCAGTCCAGCAAAAAAAAAACAAAAAAAACGTTATCCATGTTTTACAATGAGGGTTCCTTGGTGCTTTCTGGGCGCAGCTGTTTTCTTGGAGACGTTTAATGACCCAACTAGGTAACTTCATCAGTGGGAGGAGGAGGAGGAGGAGGAGGAGGAGGAGGAGGAGGAGGAGGAGGAGGAGGAGGAGGAG